GACAACCCAGCTTAAAAATGGGAAGAAAATCAAAGAGACATTTTCCAAAGCGGAAATGCAGAGGGCCACAGTCACATGAATAGATGCTCAAAACTGCTAATTATCAAGAAAATACAAATCAAAACTACAACGAGGTCTCCCCTCACAGCTCTAAGAATGGCTATTATTAAAAAGAGCAGAAATAACAAATATTGAAGAGGGTGTGGAAAAAAGGGTACCCTCCTATGCTGTTGATGGGAATGCAAATTGGTGCAACCCCTGTCAAAAACAGAATGAAGGATTCACTAAAAACGGAGCTAACATGTGACCCACTGATTCCCCTTCTGGGCATATACTCAGACGAAAGTCTAATTCAAAAAGGTGCATGCACCCCAATGTTCATAGAAACCTTATTTACAATCGCCAGGACACAGAAACAACCGAAGTATGCCCTGAAAGATGAATGGACAAAGAAGGTGTGCTATGACTATACAATGGAATAGGACTCAAGCATAAAAAAGAACAAAACAGTGCTGTTGGCAGCCACACAGATGGTCGTGGAGGGCATTACGATATGTGAAATAAGTCAGAGAAAGACAAATACTGTATGTTACCACTTATACGTGGGATCTATAGAATTTAATAAACCAGTGAATATTACAAAAAATGAAACAGACCCACAGTTCCAGAGAAGGAACTAGTGGTGAGCAGTGGAGAGCATGAAGGACTAGGAGGTACAAACTATTGGATATAAGGGAGGCTCAAGAATGTATTGTTCAACACAAGGAATTAGAGCCAGTATTTTGTAATACATGTTAATCAATTTTAACCTTTTAAAACTGCATAAAATAAAAAACAATTACCTAGGTTAAAAAAAAAAAAAGAAACAAAACAGAATTCTTGAGGGGACAGGTTGTGTTTGGTGCACAAGGTCAAAATCTTCCTTTCACTGTTTAGATCCAGTTGTGAAATCTAAGATGTGAAAAAAAGAAAAAATGAACACAGAGAAAACAGAAAAACAAATCAGAAATTTATAAATTGGGAGAGACAGTCTTCATAGCGAAAGGTTGTTGCTGAACCACGAAAGACACCAGGATTCTTGGCCTCCAGAGGAGAAGAATTCAATTCAGGGCCAGAGACGAGGCTTGATCACTCAGAGCTTTTGTGTGATAAAGTTTTATTAAAGTATAAAAGAGATAGAAAAAGCTTCTCACACAATCAGAAGGGGAACAGAGAGTGCTCCCCCCTCCCGCCAGTGTTAGCAAGGGAGTTATATACTCTCCAATTAGTTATTACAATGAATCAGAAGAATGTCTGGAGGTTGCAAAGATCTTAGTAGATCCACTCCCATAATCCACATTTCAAGATAACAGGATTAGCCAGAAGGCCCTCAGGAAGGAGAAACTGTCCTCAAACAGGATATGTTGTTGTTGTGTGATCGCTAGTACAGAGTTTAAACTGAGTTGTGTAATTGATTAAGGAATGTAGACAAAAAAACAAAAAAATTTGTCCTTCCCTCCTCCTTGAGAATTCCAGACCCCTATCTTCTTGGGGACCCACAGACTTCTTATCAACCTGCCTAGGAATTGACTCTCTTAAAAGTTACAGAAAGTTGGCTAAATTTGAGGAGGAAAAATCAAGAAGGACATTTAGCAGTGTTTAGGGGTTTATAAGGGTAATGTTTGTGCAGAAGGGTTTCATTTTTATTTGTCATTCTGTGGCTGTCAGTTCAGTCAATGCTTATGAAAGATAGTTGGGAACAAAGGTCCTATGACTTCCTTCAGTTACAAAATAGCAGGATTGCCACAACCTGTCGCAATCGTCTCTGAGAGTGACTACATTTCATCTCCCCTTGATTGGCAGTTAGGAAGGTCTTCCTAAGAGGGCATGGTCCTGGGACACACTCCCAGGGGAACATGTGTTGGTAAGGGTCCAAAGGAAAACCCGGGGATGTTGGAGGTGCCTAAGGAGACACGGAAGGATGATAACAGGTGGATGAGGGGAGTTAGCTGGGATCACATCCCTGCTGGGAACGACACAAGTCATGGAGATGAGTGAAAAAATCTGCATGAGTGTTAGAAGGTGTAACAAGTTTCTTTGATGACCTTTCAGAGCAGGATGTTAGGTCAGAGCACGTACAGAGGAATACAAGGAAGCAAACAGAAAGATGTATCTTGGGAGCAAAAGAAAAAAGAAAAGAAATGAGGGCCTTCCCTTGTGGTCTAGTGGGTTAGATTCTGTGCTACCAGTGCACATTTTTGGCTTCCATTGCTGGAACCAGATTGCACAGGCCGCAACTACATCCCGTTGCAGCCAAATAAACACATAAATATTTTGTAAAAAGAAGAACAGGGTTTAAAGAAAGGTAATGTTATTGAAATAGATGGGGAAAAGTGGAAACTGTGACTGATTGTATTTCCTCAGGCTCCAAGATTACTGCGGATGGTGGCTGCAGCTATGAAATTAAAAGACGTTTAGTTCTTAGAAGAAAAGCTACGACCAACCTAGACAGTGTATTAAAACGCAGAGCCATTACTTTACTGACAAAGGTCTGTGTAGTCAAAGCTAACTTTTTTTTTCCAGTAGTCATGTATCCATGTGAGAGTTGGACCATAAAGTAGGTTGAGTGCTGAAGAATTGATGGTTTTGAACTGTGGTGTTGGAGAAGATTCTTGAGTGTCCCTTGGACTACAAGGAGGTCAAACCTTCAATCCTAAAGGAAATCAACTCTAAATATTCATTGGAAGGACTGATGCTGAAGCTGAAGCTTCAGTACTCTGGCCACCTGATGCGAAGAACTAACTCATTGCAAAACACCCTGACTCTGGGAAAGATTGAATGCAGGAGGAGAAGGGGACGACAGAGGATGAGATGGTTGGATGACATCACCGACTCAGTGGACATGAGTTTGAGCAAGCTCCGAGAGTTGGTGATGGACAGGGGAGCCTGGCGTGCTGCGGTTGATGGGGTCCTAGGGAGTTGGACATGACTTGGCAACCGAACAACAACAAGATGTTCCAGAAGGAACACTGTTGGTCATTCTCAGAGAAAGTGGCAATACGAAGACCTAAGTTGAAGACCCCATTTTAGCCAACGCCTCCTCAAAGGGCTGACACCAAACACCAATTCTGAGCTCTGAGGTGTCCCAGAAGCAAGTAGTACAGAGTCCGCTCTCAGCATTTTTCCACGGCTGGACTGGAAACAATAAAAGTACCATTGTTCCTTCATTTCTGCAGTTGGCACTTGACTTGCGTTTAGTACATTCATTTGATAAATCCCTATGAAATAAAATGCCCATGACTGAAAATGGGAAGAAGAACAAAGAAGGTGTTCTCCAGCTCTTTCATCATCCTTGAAGATAACAGAGGGAGGATTATCAGTGAAAGTTCAATGAGCCATCACGTTGATAAGAAAAAGAGTTGGCGAGGGGGTGGGAGGTGGGGGGATTTAATTCAAGCCAAACTGAGCATTGCAAAGTAGGAAGCAGAATCCCAGAACGTCCTGAGGACTGTCCTGCCTGTTGCAAGTTGAAGGCACAGTCCTATACATTTTTGAGAAAAAGGGGTATTCACCAGAGCGACACATGGATAGCTTACATAAAGTTGACCAAGGAGGCACAGTCCAGGTGTGCATGTAAAAGCAAATCATGCGGACCCCCTGTGAGTGAGGGCTTTGTCACTCAGTCATGTCTGATTCTTTTGTGACCCCCGTGGACTGTAGCCCACCAGGCTCCTCTGTCCCCGGGATTCTCCAGGCAAGAATACTGGAGTGGGTAGTCACTTCCTCCTCTAGGGTATTGCATTATATGCTCAGTGGTGTTCAGCTCTTTGCCACCCCATGGACAGTAGCCACCCCCCAGGCTTCTGTGTCCATGGGATTTTTCAGACAAGAATACTGGAGTGGGTTGGTTGCCATTTCCTACTCCAGGGGATCTTCCTGACCCAGAGATTGAACCTGCATCTCTAGCACTGGCAGGCAAATTCATCAGTGAGCGTCCTGGGAATGCCAGGACCCCCTCCTGGTCTTTAAGAAGTTATGTGAACAGCATCAGAGGAAAGAAAAACATAATCGACTCCTGTGGTCAAGGTCACCCTCCTGTGTCTGGAGGGTCTCGGGTTAATGTGTAGAGCAGACACACCCTACACTTTAGGAGAAAAGGTAACAGGTCCAAGGCAGCACAGAAGAGAGAAGTTGATGTCTGGCTTTTTCCCCCTGTTCCGCCTTAAAATGTGAATTTTATAGTTTATTGGGAGGAAGATATTTTTTCCTTTTTTTTTTCCTTCCAAAATATATAAAGTTAGAAGAACTAGTCTCACGCTTTCTTGCTTGCCTGAAGAGACCTTCGAGTCAGTGAACAAATGACATATTACAGAATAGATGAGTAAGAGGGTTTTTGGAAAAGGAGATGATGGCAATGAACTGCTGGAATGCTCTCTCTCCAGGAGATTACTGAGGGCGTCTGAACACACTGTCCTCCTCGTGAGGAGGAAGTGATCAACATGCTTTGTCTTTCTCACCTGAGAGAAACCCGAGAGAATCCCAGGATCTCTTAGTCGTCATTATAACCTTGTTAAATCCATTGCTCCTTTAGTTCTGGAAGAGAAGCTTAAACCCCTTGTTCTCAAAGGCAAAGAAACAGCTCAAGAGTCGCCGATATGTATCTTGGACGATTTCTCCTCATTTTAAATCTTAGGATGTTAAGGAAAGCAAAGATTCCTGACCTTCAAAGAACCTGACTTCTTAGCCAGTGTAAAGGGCAAATGTCTAGATGCACTTAAGCTCCACTTAAGTGTATAATCTCATTATAAAAAGTGACAGATTGCCAGGGAAGCTCAACTGCCAGCCAGGATATCAGCAGGGAGTGTCTACGTCATCAACGTCTCAGGAGGAGCAGCCAGTGGTTTGTGTTGTCTTGGGCCAACAGCAGCGGGGATAGGATAAAAAGCGGAAGCCGTGCACGTCTCTCCCAACCCCTGGGACGCCCGCAGCCTCGGAGGAAGAAGGACCACATGGAGTCCACCATGCGAGCCAACAAGATGAAGGTCCTGTTTCTGACTTTGGTCCTTGGTCTGGTCTGTTCTTGCCAGGAGAGTCCAGCTGAGCCACACCACTCACAGGTACCCAAAATGAGCTGACTGGGGAGGAGGTCTGCCTTGTTTGTGTGTGTGTGTGTTTCTTAGGGGTTTCTGTTACGTGGATTCATGGATGCTGTGTGAAGTCGTTCAGTCGTATCTGACTCTTTGTGACCCCATGGACTGTAGCCCACCAGGCTCCTCTGTCCATGGGGTTCTCCAGGCAAGAATACTGGAGTGGGTTGCCATTTCCTCCTCCAGCAGATCTTCCCAACCCAGGGACTGAGACCAGCCCTCCCATACTACAGGCAGATTCTTTACTGCATGGGCCACCAGGAAAGCTCAATCTCTACTGTCTATGGAATGTCTGTTAGGTATTTGCACTGCTCTTGCAAAACAGAGGAAAGTGAACTGAAGGTGTTAACCAGTCAGTTGTGTCTGACTCTTTGCAACCCCATAGACTATCCCACCAGTCTCCTCTGTCCATGGGGTTCTCCAGGCAAGAATACTGGAGTGGGTTGCCATTTCCTCCTCCAGGGGATCTTCCCGACCCAGGGATTGAGCCCACGTCTCCCACATTGTAGGCAGATGCTTTACTGCCTGAACCAGCAGGGAAGACCAAATCAGAGGAGGTTCTGTCAAAGCACTGTTGGATTGGAGTTCTGCATTTGACAAGAAAGTTTAAGGGGGTCACAGAAACACCTCAATTCCTTCTTCTTCCTTTGACTTGAGTCTTTACATTATAAGCTGGGCTTTGCTCAATAAACTTGGGTAGCTTCTGCCCCAGTGAAAGTGTAGGGAAACCCCCCAAGGATGGTGTCAAAAAGGATGAAATGGGAGGGATTCACATTTCTAAGGGGAATTTTGCTTTTAGCTTTCAGGAGAATGGAAAACCCATTACATCGCCTCCAATAACACAGAGAAGACCAGTGAGAACGGGCCATTCAACGTTTATCTTCACAGCATCAAGTTTAATGACAAAGGGGACTCCGTTGTCTTCCATTTCTTTCTCAAGTAAGTAAAAATGACACAGAAGGAAAACACCTGTAAACCCCGAGTCTGAGATAGGGTGCGTCTCCCTCGTCTGCAGGGAGCTCTCTGCAGTGATGTTGAGAGCAAGATGCCCTGAGCTGTGGGGCTGAGCAGGGTTGGGGGGCAGTTACCCTGAGAGCCTGCAGGGAACATCCTGGAATCTTTAATCACCACTGAGTTTACTAAACACTCACAGCCCCCAAGGACCTCCCAGGGAATGTCCACTACATGGCAGATGGTTTACTGAGAACATGTAAACTCCTGTACATATTTTGAGAAATAAAAATACTAATAAATAAGGACGTATTGTATAGCACAGGTGGCCCTAGTGGTAAAAAACCTGCCTGCCAGTGCAGGAGACAGAAGAGACACGGGTTCAATGCCAGGGTGGGGAAGATGCCCTGGAGAAGGGCAGGGCAGACCACTCCAGTATTGTTGCCTAGAGAATCACATGGACAGAGGAGCCTGGTGGGCTGCAGTGCATGGGGTTACAGAGTCACACACGACTGAGCAACTAATATAGAAACACAGTAAAACACTTAATAAATAAACAGAAAAGGGAAAGAATGAAGAGGCTTGTGCTTGGAGCTAATGGTATATAAATATATATAATTCATTATATGTCACACATGTATGCATGCTAAGTTGCTTCAGTCATGTGGACTGTTTCCCGCCGTGTAGTCAGCTTCCCAGTGGCTCAGCTGGAAAAGAATCTGCCTGCAATGTGAGAGACCTGCATCCCTGGGATGGGAAGATCCCCTGGAGAAGGGATAGGCTACCCACTGTAGTATTCTTGGGCTTCCCCGTGGCTCAGGTGCTAAAGAATCTGCCTGCAATGTGAGAGACATGCAACCCTGGGATGGGAAGATCCCCTGGAGAAGGGATAGGCTACCCACTGTAGTATTCTTGGGTTTCCCCGTGGCTCAGCTGGTAAAGAATCTGCCTGCAGTGCGAGAGACCTGCATCCCTGGGATGGGAAGATCCCCTGGAGAAGGGAAAGGCTAGCCACTGTAGTATTCTTGGGCTTCCCCGTGGCTCAGCTGGTAAAGAATCTGCCTGCAATGTGAGAGACCTGCATCCCTGGGATATGAAGATCCCCTGGAGAAGGGATAGGCTACCCACTGTAGTATTCTTGGGCTTCCCTGTGGGTCAGCTGGTAAAGAATCTGCCTACAGTGTGAGAGTATTCTTGGGCTTCCCCGTGGCTCAGCTGGTAAGGAATCTGCCTGCAATGTGAGAGATCTGCATCCCTGGGATGGGAAGATCCCCTGGAGAAGGGATAGGCTACCCACTGTAGTATTCTTGGGCTTCCCGATGGCTCAGCTGGTAAAGAATCCACCTGCAACACAGGAGACCTGGGTTTGACCCCTGGTTTGAGAAGATCCCTTGGAGAAGGGAAAGGCCACCCACCTCCAGTTTTCTGGCCTGGAGAATTCCATGGTTTGTATAGTCCACGGGGTGGCAAAGAGTCAGATGCAACCGGGTGACTTTGACTTTCCTATTTGAATGTCATTCACTATGTCAAATATCACATGTATTTTGCATGTTGGTGAATGTGTTTGTGTAGACAGATGTCCTTTCATGTTAATTCCTAATATTATTATTGTTATTTTTTGCTGTGCTGGGTCTTCCTTGCTCTGTGCAGGCTTTCTCTAGCTGTGGCGAGCCGGGGGCTACCCTCTAGTTGTGGTGCTCCCGCTTCTTGCTGTGATGGTTTCTCTAATGGAGGAGCGCCAGCTCTAGAGCACGGATTCAGTAACTGTGCCCCATGGGCTCACTTGCCGCTCTACATGTGGGATCTTCCGGGACCCGGGATTGAACCTGTGTTCCTGGCTTGGGCGGGTGCAGTCTCATCCATTGGACCACAGGGAAGTCCTCTTAAGGTGTTTTTATGCAGCAAGAGTTTGTTTTTGATAAAATTAAAGACTTTTTTTTTTGTTTTCTTTCATATCCTGCACTTTGGGGCAATTATATCCACTAAGAATGGGTTCTGCAGATGGCACGAGGTGGTAAAGAACCCGCCTGCCAATGCAGTGGACTTTAAGAGATTCGGGTTTGATCCCTGAGGTGGGAAGACCCCCCCCTAGAGAAGGGAAAGGCAACCCGCTCCAGTGTTCTTGCCTGGAGAAATCCGTGGACAGAGGAGCCTGCTGGGGTACAGTCCATGGGGGTCACAGAGAGAGTCACACATAACTGAAACGACTTGGCATGCAGGCATGCAAACTCTAAGAATACACTGTCAGGACTGGGAGAGCGCTAAGGTCTGTGTTGATAGCTGTGCCTCTTAGCTTGAAGGAAAGGATTCAAGGCCAGACTTGTTGCATTACTTTTTCTTTCCTACAATTCTGGCTTTCTCCATTCTTCTTTGCTTGTGAACGTGACCTGTTTTGTACTGGCAGTGTATCCCTGGAATGACTGCTCAAATATCATGCATCCACGTGACAATCCTTTTTACTTGATTGTCACTGGATGTTACAAGTTCCTCTGGTGAATCTCACACTGTCTCCGTCACTAAAGTGATTCGTGACACAGGGCATTGTGTGTGTGGGGGTGGTGGGGTGTTGGTGGAAGAAAATCCTCATGAGATGTGAATTTGGTATGACTTCTATCAACCAACTGGAAGCTGTTCTGTCTTTAAGGAACAACGGGAAATGCATAGAGTCGTCTGTTACTGGAACAAAGATAGGAAACAACGTTTACACGGCTGACTGTGAGTATGAGTGTTCCACGGGTAAATGTTTACTCAGGTTGAAATCTCGGTCTTAATCCCCTCAAGAAATGCATATGTGCAAATTCTAGTTTTGCTAATGAGAAGCATCACCAGGCGCTGGTCCCTGAATCTCCCCGGCCTCGAATTTTGTCATGAACACAGAGTCCAAGCCCAGACCTTGGATGGCTCCTCCCAAAGATGGGTGGCCGGAGGACATGGAAAATCTGACTTAAGTTGTTCCAATGTGACCCAAGGCTCGTGGACCCAGGGCGGGTTTGGGCAAGTAGCATGCACTTGTCTGGGGCTAGGAGACTGAATTTCAGTAGCTATTTTTTCCTTTTTTCTCAATCTAATCTTTTTCTAATGAGCCATGGGGTTGACATGTTTTGGGAACACAGTCGGGCGGTCTTACCTCCCATGTTGCTGAGTAATCGGAGGAAGGTGTGATGGAGCCCAGGAGAGGCAGGATGGACTAGAGGGTGTAGAAATGACATGTAGTAGGTCGGCGCTGCATCCCGTCCAGACGCACGGGGCAGAGTGGACGGGTAGAGAGGACGGGTGTCCCTCCAGGCGGGGACAGAGCTCACTGCTAGGTAAACCGTCTTCACTGCAACAAGCGTGGCAACGGGCTCTGTTGCAACCCAGCCTGAGGGGCAGAGGAGACACAGCAATTAATAGAAATTGTCCAGAAGGCTGCCGCGCACAGGGCCGGCACTCAATAACAGAGAGTTTTTCCTTCTAATTAAATATCTAAAAAAAAATTTTGTGACGAAAATTTTAATTGTTTATTCATCGCTTCCTTAAAACGCATCTCTATGAAACATCTCCGATTGTCCCCGATTTCATCTTTTAAATTTATTTTTAATTGGAGGATGATGGATTTACGGTGTTGCGTTGGCGTCTGTGGTACAACGTGGATCCGTTGAATGTATACTATTATGTCCTCCCCCCATGACCTCCCACCATCCCATCCCACCCCTCTTGGTCATCACAGAGCGCTGAGCTGAGCTTCCTATAGGGCAGCTGCCCAATCAGCTGTACGTACACGGATATCCCCTCCCTCCATAATCTCCCTGCCTCCCCATCTCACCCCTCTAGGTCATCACAAAAACATTGACCTGAGCCCCTTCTGGTACACAGCACCTTCCCACTAGCTATCTATTTTACAACAGGCTCGTGTGTACGCTTCAGTGCTACTATTGGAAATGGTTTGTTGCTTTTGGTCTTGAGCAGAATCAAGTCCATGTCTGAGATAACCGAAATACAAAGTTTTTTTTTTTTTTTTTTTTTAAAGCTTGGGACTTGATAAAGCACTCACGTTGTTTAAAACGTGTTCATTAGAATGCATGTTCTAGAAAACATGTTAGGAACGCGGCAAGGAGTGACCAGTCAACTGCTTGAGAAGATGGGACTGAGGAAAAGTCTTGCCTTCTCTCCTTACTGTAATAGCAACTCCAGCATTCGACACAGGGATGAGACAGAGATCGACAGGCAGCTGTGCTTGCCGATAGGGTAAATACAGAAGGCATTGCTGCCAGCAGGCTAAATTCACTGCAATAGAGCCATGATCTATCAATATAATAAATTACTCAAGGTGGGGCTAACTCTGCCTATTTTCCCTCTCTAACAAAGATGCGGGAGTCAATCGATTCCACTTTATCCTGGTGTCTGACGATGGTCTGATAGTGGTTTCTGAGAATGAGGATGAAGCAGCCCAGATATCCAGACTCGTCGGGCTCTTGGGTATGTATTACAGCCTGACGACGTTCCCACTGCCCTGTAACAGCAGCATTGCCGTATTTTTACTCATAATTCATCACGTGCTTTCATTATTCGTTAACGAGGGCCAGGCCTTTGTGTTCATCAACCTAAGAGCCTAGGAAAGGAATCTAACACAGAAAGAGAGGTGGAGAAAGTAGATGCAAGTGGTGGGACGTGTCATCGGACAATGCAGATTTTCCACCTGCTAAAGGTGAAAAATAAAAGTACTGAGCTTCCTTTTTGAAGGCATGGCTATAATGAAAGTGATAGTCACTCAGTCGTGTCTGACTCTCGCGACCCCGTGGACTGTAGCCCACCGGACTCCTCTGTCCATGGGATTCTCCAGGCAAGAATACTGGACTGGGTTGCCATGCCCTTCTCCAGGGAATCTTCCTAACCCAGGGATCAAACCCAGGTCTCCTGGATTGGCGGTCACTTTCTTTACCTTATAGTGAAGTTGTCCTCAATTCCTTCATGTTATGCCACTTTTCCCATGTATCCCAAGCCTTGAAATAGAAGCTTTTAAAATACATCTTTGTCCTGTTCATTTATCCAAGGCATTGTTCTTAGGAACATTGACATCACCCCCAAATAACCACGTGGAAACACTGAGAAGTGTGTGTGCCATGGGGAGTTGCTGCTGTTCCTTGTTCAGTCGCTGAGAGTTGCAGCTGACTCTTTGCAAACTCCATGGACTGCAGCATGCCAGGCTCCCTGGGGATGGCAGGTATCTGTTTCAGGAAAGGTACTGAGTAGAGTCGTGGGTCAGAGAAACAGTCAATTGTCTCCCATTATCATGTATGACATGGTGAGCATGTGTCTATCAGGGGAGAACTCTTGTTTGCTATTTATTTGGGCCCAGAACAAGACCTGAGCACGGATACTAGGTACAGAGACTCGGAAGTAGGTCAAGGAGCAAGGTGGTTCCATACTGTGATGGAAGGAGCCCCAATTTCATGGAGTTCCAGCGAGTCTCTGGGGTCCTGCTGCTGATGCTGGGGGCCGGGGCTACTTACACAGTTGGATGGGGATTAATTCTTAAGATAGACAGCAGACATCTGAGTCATGGGAAATGGTAACTGTTTGAGGCTCTCTTCCATTATTCCAAGTGAAACCTGATGAGTACATTCAGGTCTTCTCATTGTGTCTTCAGCAACAGTTAGGGACTCTAATGGGTAAATTACCACTTCCTGCATTGTGATTTCCAGGCAAAGAAGATGATGTCGATGATCACAACCTAGAGAGATTCAAGGAGGAGATTAGAAAATTTGAGATTCCAGAGGAAAATATTGTGGATTTCACCAAGGGTGGTAAATGGAACTATACTTTTTTCCCTGAATCTTTCACCCCGTAGGTACATACACTACCAGGAAACAAATCAGTTTGCTTGTAATTTGTTCTTTCGCAACTAATCTTTTATATAATCCACTACTTAAGAAATGTTAAAATTACCAGAATGGGTCATATTTGATGGGTCTCTTATTCCTGCCCATCTGATCTCCCCCTAGGTGGCTGTTAGACCCAGTGAAAAAAAAGAGTGATGTCAACTCCACCTAATTGTAAGTAAACACACTCTGCTATGAATGCTATTTCATCAAAGAAATCAATAAGCACATGCTGTACTTTCATATGTGTAAAAATTCATAAGTAACCATGTTTTGCCCCAATGACTTACATTCTATTGCCGGAGAACTTTTTTTTTTTTTTTTTTTTCTGTTACACTAGGCTACACTGCATTTCTTGAGCCCTATTAAATTTCAGACTGGTTGGTTGATGAATGCCGAGCAGTTTTAGTGAGAAAAACTGAATTCTGAAGGACTGGGGGCAATCGCCGGATTCATCAGAGACGAGTAGGAATGGCCCCAAGCTGGTGGAAACTAAATTGCGTTCCCATCAGTCCTGATCTCAAGGTTGTCCATGCACTTCCTTCCCTCAAGGAGAACCGGGATTAAAGAGAGGTCACATTTTATGCAAGGTGGCTGTTTAATCTCTCATGATTCTGACAGAACCAGTGAAGGTCTTCCAACCACACTGTCTTAAATACACACTTGAATTACCTTTCCCATTCAAAGAGTGATTTTCTTCAAGTGAGATACTTAAACTTTCTCAACTCAGACCGCCTCTGAAAATGACACTGGTCTAGGCTAACGTGCGGCTTTCATTTTTCTGCTGAGGCAAAATGGAAGGAAAGAAAGCAAATTAAAAATAAAGGAGCTTCCAGGCAAATGTGATAAGAAAGAGGTGGTACACAGGTACAATGAAATATTAGTCAGCCATTAAAAAGCATGAACCAATGCCATTTGCAGCAAGATGGATGCAACGGAGATTATCATACCGAGTGAAGAAAGTCAGAAAGAGGAAGAGAAATATCGTGATGTCACTTATATATGGAAAGTAAAATATGGCACGAAGGAACTTATTTACCCAACAGAAGCAGACTCACAGATAGAGAAAACAGACTTGTGGTTGCCTAGTAGTAGAAGGCTGGGGAAGAGAAGGCTTGGGAGTTTGGCATTAGCAGATGCAAACTGTTAAATACAGGATGGATAGACCAAAAATTCTCACTGTATAGTGCAGGGAAATATATGCAAGAATTCAAAAACCTACATGGGAAAAGAATCTGAAAAACGATAGATATATGTATGTATAAACTAATCGTGTTGTTATACACCTGCCTGAAACGAACACATCGATACTTAACTATCCTCCAATGTAAAACAAAATTTAAGAATCGATTCTTGAAGACCCCAAAGACAAAGTTTGTGCAAATAGAGGGGTTTACTCCAATCTCAGAGTCTGTAAGCCATATTTAGAGGAACCATTCCCATGAAAATGCAGCCTGTGTTCGTGACTCCTACCATGCATCCTGCAGGTAAAGGATCCCACCATATGTACATCCTGGGGAAAATTCCACACGGACCCTCACCTATATCACAAGATGTGGAGCAGTGAGGTCCACCAGGATTCTGACATTGGATCAGCTACCAGCTCTTGTACCCTGTCAGTCGTCACAGTGTTCACTCTCCTAAACCTTTGGTTTTCTTTTATTCACCTACAGAGTCAGTGAGACCAGACATCTCCTCTTCCCCATGGAATAAAGATCAACCACATGATGACGACCTTCCTGGTTCCTGATCAACACGATCCTTCTCTCTTCACACTCACAAGACTCCCTTTCCCTTCTCATCTCTCCTGGTCACTAATCACATCCGGTCTGTCGCTGTTTGATTTCTGAGGGTTTAAATAAACTGGCTTAATACACACCTGACTTACGTGTGTCTCTATAGAAAGTGCCCGATTTTAAAATGCACAAATATGCATATCCAATTCAACTATCCAGAAAGATATGCCTATAATAGGATAGTTATTCCACCGGAGATGATTCTGACGGGGGTTAGATAGAGATGTCCTAGAGGTGTCCAGCAGAGAAGGGCACAGAAAAGTGTACACAATCACAGCACAGGGGACAGGATTATGGATCCTCTTACTGTACCGTAGGGGACAGTCTGGTCAAGATGTGCCTGAAAGCACCGTATTTATCACAGGGAAAGGAGTTTGTGTTTCCCTGTCTGAGCTTCACAGAGAGAAAGTGTAAGATGCCGTGGGCCACAACAGGAAAAATGTGTATTCTGACAGCACAAACCCTTCGGAAACTGAGGTCAAGGACTGATGTTTCTTGACCACTGTATCACTAGTGACCAAAATCCAGCAACAGCTGAGACCTGGTCAGTCCATACGATCATGAAGTCAGTGTACGGTCTGAAGGAACAGGATGACTGACTCAGTCAGGAAGCTGTCACCGTTCTCCACACCTAAAGCGGGTCTCCAGATTCGTATGCTTCGAAGAGCAGTGGATGCTAGGATTTGCAAGGATTGGGCATTCCAAATATCAAGGGCATAGCACACCGTTCTGCACCCCCATGGTGGCTGAGCTGTATACAATCAACAAGACCTAGCAAACACTCAAGAGATAGAATTTATTCCAAGGGTGGGGCGAAAGCTCAGAGATCTGGTTCAAGTCCTGGGAAAAAATAATCTAAGATCTAAGGGATATTTAAAAGAAGAGAAGCAAAAGGCAAAGGAGGAAGGGAAAGATATGCCTCTCTGAAGGCAGAGTTCCAGAGAAGAGCAAGAAAGCCTGATGGGAGCAAGGCAAAGAAACAGAGGGAAACAAGAGAATAGGAAAAGACTACAGATCCCCTCAAGAAAATCAGAGATACCATGGGAACATTTCATGCAAAGATGGGCTCGATAAAGGACAGAAACGGTAAGGACCTAGCTTAGGTAGAAGAGATTAAGAAGAGGTGGCAAGAATACACAGAACAATTGTACAAAAGAGGTCTTCATGACTTGGATAACCATGATGGTGTGGTCACCCACCTAGAGCTAGACATCCTGGAATGCAAAGTCAAATGGGCCTTAGGAAGCATCACTGTGAACACACCTAGAGGAGGTGATGGAATTCCACTTGAGCTATTTCAAATCCTAAAAGATGATGCTGTGAAAGTGCTGCACTCAATATGACAAGAAACCTAGAAAACTCAGCAGTGGCCACAGGACTGGAAAAGGTCCGTTTTCATTCCAATCCCAAAGGAGGGCAATGTCAAAGAATGCTCAAATTACCACATGATTGCACTCATTTCCCAGGCTAGCAAAGTAATGCTGAAAATTCTCCAAGCTAGGCTTCAACAGTCCATGAACTGTGAACTTCCAGATGTTCAAGCTAGATTTAGAAAAGGCAGAGCAACCAGACATCAAATGGCCAACATCCGTTGGATCATAGAAAAAGCAAGAGAATTACAGAAAAACATCTGCTTCACTGACTATGCCAAAGCCTTTGACTGGGTGGATCGCAACAAACTGTGGAAAATTCTTAAAGACATGGGAATACCAAACCTTACCTGCCTCCTGAGAAAACAGTATTCAGGTAAAGAAGCAACAGTTAGAAACGGAAATGGAATAACAGACTGGTTCCAAATAGGAAAAGGAGTACGTCAAGGCTGTATATTGTCACCCTACTTATTTAACTTATATGCAGAGTACATCATGAGAAATGCTGGGCTGCATGAAGCACAAGCTGGAATCAAGATTGCCTGGAGAAACATCAATAACCTCAGATATGCAGATGACACCATGCTTATGGCAGAGAGTGAAGAGCAACTAAAGAGCTCCTTGATGAAAGTGAAAGAAGAGAGTGAAAAAGCTGTCTTAAAACTCAATATTCAGAAAACTAAGATCATGGTATCTGATCACATCACTTCATGGCAAATAGATGGAGGGAAATGGAAACTGTGACATACTTTATTTTGGGGGGCTCCAAAATCACTGCAGACAGTGACTATGGCTATGAAATTAAAAGATGCTTGCTCCTTGGAAGAAAAGCTATGAGAAACCTAGACAGTGTATTAAAAACCAAAACATCACTTTACTGAGAAAGGTCTGTATAGTCAAAGCTATGGTTTCTCCAGTGGTCATGTACGTATGTGAGTAGGACCATAAAGAAGACTGAGCACCAAAAAACTGATACTTTTGAACTGTGGTGTTGGAGAAGACTCTTGAGAGTTCCTTGGACTGCAAGGAGATCACACTGGTCAATCCTAAGGGAGGTCAACCCTGAATATACATTGGAAGGACTGATGCTGAAGCTAACGTTCTGATATTTTTGGCCACTGGATACAAAGAGCCAACTCATTGGAAAAGACACTGATGCTGGGAAGGATTGAGGACTGGAAAAGAAGGGGTTGGCAGAGAATGAGATGGTTAGGTGGCATCACCAACTGAATGGACATGAGCAAACTCCAAGACGGTGAAGGACAGGGAAGCCTGGCGTGCTGCATTCTATGAAGATACAGAGAGTCAGACATTACTGAGTGATGGAACAACAACAAAGTCATTTTTAATAGAATAAATTTTTTCCATTTATTTTTATTAGTTGGAGGCTAATTACTTTACAATATTGTAGTGGTTTTTGCCATACATTGACATAAATCAGCCATGGATTTACATGTGTTCCCCATCCCAATCCCCCCTCCCACCTCCCTCTCCACCCGATCCCTCTGGGTCTTCCCAGTGCACCAGCCCCGAGCACTTGTCTCATGCATCCAACCTGGGCTGGTGATCTCTTTCACCATAGATAATATACATGTTTCAATGCTGTTCTCTCGAAACATCCCACCCTAGCTTTCTCCCACAGAGTCCAAAAGTCTGTTCTATACATCTGTGTCTCTTTGTCTGTTTTGCATATTGGGTTATCATTACCATCTTTTTAAATTCCATATATATGTGTTAGTATACTGTATTGGTCTTTATC